AGCAGTGGAATGGTTTTGTGTCCGTGCTGAAATCTGCCCCTGAGATGGGTCCGTGCCTGAATTTCTGTGTGACCAGCACTCTGCCCAGCCCCTCCGAGGGGCTGACACCTCTCCAAGAGCAGCCACCATCCACATCACAATGAGAGATGTGTTTGTTTGTGTCTCGCCCAAGTCCCCATTTGTCCTCTCCAAAAACCACGGAGTAATTCAGCTCCAGGGCAGACTCCAGCCTGGGACAGCCAGAGCAGAGTGCAGTGCCCAAGACCTTCCCCGTGCCACTCCCTTTAAAAACAACTCTGGGCTGAGGTGGCTGAACTGATTCTTTTTAATTATTATTATTATTTTTTCCTCTCCAGGCAAATACAGGCTCTGCACAACCAGTCTGACTCCAGCTCAGTCTGGTGCTTCCCAAAGGAACCAGAGGAACCGGTTGGTGATGGGGCAACCCCTCCACAGCCACCACGGTGGGCACCTGTCCCAGCCCCACACCCCCAGAGGTGACAGTGACATCCCCACTGCCTCACCCACCTCCATCATCTCTGCTGTTTTAGAGGGGATTTCACCAGGTTTCCATGCAGTCAGCAATGCCCTCACCTCTGCATGTGGCAGCAGCTCGGCCCAAAGCCCTTCTCCCTCAGCTCATCTCAAGTGGGATAAACATGTTTACCACGGCAGCAGCCAGGACCAAGCAGGATTCAGCCTCAAGGCTGCACCTCCCAATGCAGAGAGGAGCCCACCAGGCTGCTGGAAGCACCAGGGAAGAGCCACCCCCCGTTCAGGACAGCCTGGGCTCAGCATCCCTCTGGCTGCAGCAGGGTCCCCCCACCCCAGCTCCAGGCTGAGAGCTCAATCCTCATTATTACTGGCACAAGATGTTCCTCACATCCCAGCTCAGCACCTAAAACTGGCTGGCTGCAGAGGGCAGAGCCAAGGCTCTGGTGTCCCAGGGGCTGGGACAATTTCCATGGAGTGTTTTCCACCCAGAGCAGGGAGTTCTGACAGGAGCCTGAGCAATACCATGAAATAACACTGCAGAAAGGCCAAAGGAAGATTCTCCCTGCCCCAATCCAGTGTGGGGACACAGCAGCATTGCTGCACACACATCCACCCCAGGAATTAGCCCAGGCTGAGCAGCACGTGCTCCCCAGCAGGAGCACAAAGCACACCCAGGAGCAATCCTGAAGCTCTTACAGAACTTCTTGGCTCTTGCCCCAAAGCAGGGCAAGGCGTGACTCTCCCAAAACCAAGTAATGCTGACTCCTGCTGTGCTGCTACGGCCTCTGAGCCCCAGGAGATGCCTCTGGTTTTCAGAGAAGCCAGGAAAAGGCAAAGCAGCTGAGTCAGCACCCAGCCTTGGGGAGAAAGCCCTGAGTCAGCTCTGCTTCCAGCACAAGTGGACTCCTCCTGTCCTCTCCTCTCCTCCCCCCTCTCAGCACTGCTGGCAGCCCCATCCCTGCCCTGGCAGCCCCATCCCTGCCCTGGCAGCCCCATCCCTGCCCTGGCAGCCCCATCCCTGCCCTGGCAGCCCCACATCAGCTGCACACACAAAGCACACACAAGTGAGGCTTTGCAGGCTGGAGACCTCAAACACAGGAGCAGCTCCTGCTCAGGGCCAGGTACCTCCCTGCCAGGAGCAAGGGCTCACCCAAAACCTCTCAGAGACTCACACACAGCTCCCTCATGATGTTTTTCTGGTTTACTTCTCAACCAATTTGGTTTTCAATTTGCTGTGTCCTAGAACAGCTGGTCCCAGTGTTGCTAACCTTACTCACCACTGAACCAGCATCTCTGACACGCATCACCAAGAGACCTTTTCAGCTCCAGAAATAAGTGCTGGCTAATTAAGTTTACAAGGAGAGGAGAGCTCCTGTCTGCCTCAGAGGTGTTGCACCACACCAGCTGGTCAGGCCTGGAGCTCAGACAAGCCCTATCACACCTCCAAGGTTTGCAGGAGGCACCTGCTGCATTGCACCACGGCACGCCCCAGCCTGGGTGTGAGCACCCCTGGACCTCAGCAGGGCTTGATGCAAGAGCCAGATCACAATCCTGCCTCCTGCCAGCGTGACTCACTTCAAATCACAGCCTTTCCCCTCCCAGGCAGCACAGCAGCAAGGAGAAATCACCCAGCTTGGCTGTTATTTAGCTTGAATGTGGCCAAAGGCTTCTCCCCCAGAGCCCATCTGTGTCCTTGGGTGAGGTCCTCAGTTCCACACAGGACCAGCACAGGGGTAAATCAGGGCAGAACCTCCTCCAGAAAAGGTTGGGCCGTGCTGATGGCAACTACTTTTATCAGGAGAAGAGACCAGCAGCAGGCTGGAGCTAAAGCAGATGCTTCCCAGAAGGAAAACTGGGATCACCCATGGGAGTGAGACAGCAGAACTAACAGAAAAAAAGTTGTGTTGATGAAAAGGTGTCCACAAGCAGCTCTGATCTCACAGCCTGGCCTGAAGGCGGGCTGGGACATCACTGGGGACAAACTGTGACCACCACACCTCCCTGCAGCCTGGCCATGCAAGAAGCAAAGTGTATCAGCACAGCAGGGGAAAATGGCCTGTTCTTCCTGAATGGGAAGCAAACAGGTGAAATAATCGTGTTCCTCTGGCCTGTCTGGCAGCAAACCAAGCACAGTGACCCTGCTGCCCTCCATGCAGGCACTGGAGTCGTGGTGTTTGAAGAGATGACCCTGTGTCCCCACAGGATGAAGAAAGACAAGTTTTCCCCCAGTCAAGCAGCATCTGATAAACCTCAAACAGACCCTGCAGACACCCACACAAGTTTCCCAACCCATCTGTGTGTCACCACAGCAAACTCTGCATGGCTCATACCTGAGATGTGATTTAGCTCACCAGGGGGCTCATGGAAAGTCAGAGAAATCGAGGGTTACCATGGAAATTGTTTTCACCAACAAGGCAAACCACACGCTGGCCAGAGTTCAGACACAAGAACACAGCACATCCCTTGTGCCTATTTACAGGCAGTGTTGCCCAACTGGAGGGGGCTCTTACAGAGGCAATTCAAGGTCATTACTTCTGCTTCCTAAGGAACAGATAAGTCAGCATGTTGCTTTTAAGAGGAACTCAGTTATGCTAATTAGTTATCAAGAGGAAGCCCTTCATCTTCAGAGAGCTGCAGTGGTAGGAAGAGCAATGCTTTGCAAGCACCTGCTCCACCTCTGTCCTGAGTCACCTTCCAGGGTCTCTCATTAGGTGGCAACAAGCCTGTCCCCACATGACACTGCATCAGGGTGTCATTTGCTTCTCATTACAGACTGCAGCCAGCACATGTCAGCAAAGACAGTCATTTTTAATCCATCCTTTCCATCCCTGACTCCTCTGCCAGACAAGTCGAGCTATAATCATGTTTCAAAGACTTAAGGGTGAGCATTTGGGAACTGGATTTTAGGGCAGTCAGTGAAATCCCTGTTAACTTCTCCCTGTACGAAGCACAGGGTTCAAAGGGTATTTAAAGAAAAAAAAAAAAGTCTACAAACAACTTAAAACTGCCATAAAAACTGAACTGCAGCCAAAGGTGGAGCTCCAGGGCCAAAGCCTCCCCAACTGTTTGTATTTTGCTTGCACTGTCCTCATAAAATACTGGCTGAACACTTAATTCAGCCTCTTCCCCTTGCTCCTGCAGCCTTGCAGGGGAAGATGAGAGTGGGCAGTTTGGAGACAATTCCAGGAACATATTGTTCTTCTCTTCTCATCCTGCCAGCAGTCACTCTGTGCTGGAAAAAGCTCATGAAACACAGCAGAAGAGGAGAGGTGAGGTACAGGGCTTCTGAAACGCCCACTCAGCTCTGCTCAGGAGTTATCTCAGTGCGAAATCACGTTTTTTAAAGCCTGAAAAAGGCTGAGTTGAGACCCTCGAAGGAAGCAAGGCCACAGTGAGGGGTTGGAGTGAACCATTTTACCCCTTTACTGGTCCTGGCTCATTTCTCTTGAAATTCCAAGTAGCCTGGAGGGAACCTTGGACTGCACAGAACGGGATGCTGAGTTTGGAGCTTTGGCTTTCAGGAGGCTGGAAAGCAGCTGGGATCAAAGCAGCAAATAGGTGGGTGCTAGATGGGGTTAGAGGTCTTTGCAGAAGAAGTGACAGTGCCCTGGAGCCTCTTAGGATCACCTTACCACAGCCAAAAGAAACTCTTCTTCTCCCACTGGCCCACAGAGTGAACCCTGCTGAGAGGGGTTCACAGAAACACCCACAGAGGGATTTTGGTTTCACTTCAGGCCAGTATTTTGGTACAACCCTGGGGCTTTTACCCTTGATAAGGGTCATGGGACATCTTACCATCCATCACAGAACTTCCTGCACCCACCCAGGACCCACCCTGAGCTGCCCTCCCCAAGCCTCAGGACCAAGTTACACAAAGCAGAGGTGAGGGATCGGGTAGAAAGCGACACTGAGCAGAAACTTTTTATTTAAAGTAGCTGACAGCCTAAAATAAAAGTTGGAGGGGTGGAGAATGCTGAAGAACGAACATGGGCAAGAGATTAAAATCCTCGTGAAGGCACCATCAGTGATGCACTGCAGGCTCTGGGGACTGAGGAGAGGGGAGAGCTCCTCGGGACGGTGCCTGCAGAGGTGGCACAGCCTGATTCAAGTGTTGATTCCTCACAGGGTGGCCTGGTCATGTCCCCCAGGACTCACAGACATCAACAGTCACCTCATGCCAAGCTACCACACTTAAAAGCTTCAAGCTAAACATAAAGGGTCAGCCTGCCTTTGGAGCTGGTCCCAAAATAACTCCACTGGCATCAGAGAGAACACTCAAAGCCTCGCCTGCACACGTGTCTAAAAATCTCCAAAAATAGCTCTTGCTTCCCCTTTGAAAAAAATAAAAAAACTGTGGTTCCCAATGCCTCACAGGAACTCTGGTTCTGCTCAGCGAAGCCACAAAATAAGTGAGCAGCCCAGAATTGATCTATGAGCACATCTGGACTAGCTGAAATCGGCCTTAAGAAGAAAGGAAAAAAAATAAAGATTTTAAACAGCATGTGTCAAATCCAGGGACCTTTATTTCTCTGGAATGGAAAGAATTTGCCAGCCTGGACGAAAAATTGCAGGTGGCTATTGTACATTCTTTCAAATAAAAAAAAAAAAACAACACACACACATAAGAGTTTGGCTCCATAAATTTCTGTCATAAGAAACAACTTTGAATTGTACACCAAGCTTTTTACAAAGCATCAATGTTAAGATGTTTTACCGTGCTCTATCACATTCTTGGCCATTTATACAGAATATGCCATACCAAATGCTACATCAGCTTAAGACATTTTTAAAAATTAGTATTAAAAAGATACAAAGGCATCTTGGCTTTCATTTGGGTTTTTCTTTTATTAAGACATGGGAGTTTTCTTTGTTTGTTTTCCTAAGGAAGTCACTAAAAAAATATAATAACTTAATTCATAAGGAGAAGATTGGTTAAAAATCCAGCCTTTCTTGCTTGGCAGCCCTCTGAGCTCGTACCTCTGTTGCTTCCATGAGCCTGTGAGCACCTCAGGCTGGGGGGTCTCAGCCTCCAGCTCTGCCCAGCCTCAGTCACCACGTTTGTTCAGAGTTTCCACTGCAACCAGGAAACATTCCTGGCCAAATGCTAAAAGCCATCCTCGGCCAAACAGGGGGTTTCAATCTGGGCCAATCTCACATGGGTTTAGCCCTTTGTCTTTTGCCTCTTTGTACATCCTTTGGAAGTCTTTGAAACGAGGGGCGCAGCCTAACCTGGCCTCCCCAAAGTGCATACGTCCCGTGAAAAGGAAGTCTCCATCTCCTGGCTTCACCCCACACTCCAGCAAGGTCTTTATTTGTCCTCTCCAGTTCCCACTCTCCCCTGTCAGCTGGAAGACTTTGCTCTTCTGCCTGTACAGTTTGCTGACACCGACGTGAATTATGGATTCTTGCTCTTCTGCCTCGTTCGTTACGTTTTGGATGGAGCCTCTGATCACTGGAAACAGAAAAAGGTTTTAAGGATTCTTACACAAAAATGCTTTGGGAAACCCTGGTCCAAACTCAGGCCTGTGCAACCAGGGGAACTGACTTCACAACAGCAGCCCAAATTTTGGTCCTTTGTTAATCTGAGAGTTAAGATTATCCAGAAACCGACAGTATATATTTGCATTTTTTTATCATTTATATTTGTAATCTGTCCAGCATAAGGAGCCCACATATTAAATTTAAACATAAAAATAATTACATCAGAAATATAGCATTAATCATGAAGAATTCTAACAAGCAGATACGTGCTAAATGCTCCCTGACAACGTACTTTCTGTTCTTCAGCCATTACAGATACAGCTAATGCTAATTTCCCTTTTTAAAAGGGAAGCATGGACAATTAGTGAAACTTTTGGTCTCTTGTCAAATCAACCAACAAGAAATAATGGCCTCTCCTTGATGAACCCAAATCCTTGACCTTCTGCCGTGGTTGCTGGGTCGCTCTGTTCACCCTGGGGAGGTGCCAGCTGGGCAGAGAGTTCTGAGCTCCCCAGAGCTCTCTCTCCATGTGCCTCAGACCACATTTACTGCTGCTGGAGGCTGCCAGGTGTGAGGAGGGCTCTGTTGGTGTTTGTGGGAGGAGAGGGGATTGGGGAGACAGCAACTCACCGAAATCACTAGTGCAGACAGCCAGGAGGACCTCAGTGTCACTGCAGGGTCGGCAGGGAGCTGCACAGGAAGGCTCACAGTTAGCAAATAAATAACCATAAACTTAGAACTTTATTTATTTATTAAATAAATAAATAAGCTTTATTTATTTGCTGCTTAGACAGCAGCAAATCAACCAATTTAAATAAACAAACCATTCAAACTAAACAAAAACTGACACACACAGCATGGGCACAATCACTCCAATGATCTGTCTGGCATTTCTACCACTACAAGAAGTGGGGGCTACCCCTAGTTAACCCCAGAGCCTCCATGAGATTTTTGTACCCAAGCAGGAATAGGGATCTCTTTTCCAATCCTGCTGGGATATATTGTCTAGCACACATTGCACACACTCACTGCACTTATGGAAAATAGATATTTGGTACTGGGTGTATTTGAAGGGCGCTCTGCTGTAAATTCACTCAAAAGCTTTCACATCATGTGTCTTTTCTATTCTGATGGCAAAGCTTCTCTCTTACAATTTCTATCAAGGGTTGTTGGGCCATTTAGTCATCACCACATCAAAGATCTGGGAGGTTACCAATGGGGGGAAGCAAGGAGGGGAGGGGAAAACCCCAATGCACGTGTTGGAGGGCGATGAGGCAAAGGAAACTCAAGCCAGTATCTGTTTGAGCTCGAGCAGCACAAAGACCATTTCCTGTACTGCTGGAAACATTTGGATATCTGCACTAATCTAGTCAATGCAAGAATGTGGCTCCTCTTTGTACTCAGCCCGATATTTCTGAGGAGAAGGTGCTGTAGTTGCAGTACAGATGTTTCTCTAACACCCTGTTGAGTTCAGGAATTTGCTTATTCTCAGGATCTGCCCTGCCTGGCCATGCTCAGTGAGTCTCCACAGTGGAACAAGGATCAGAACCAGGATCAGAACCGTCTCTGTCACCTGGTGTCACCTCAACACATGGAAACCCTGGATCAGCACAGGCACAGACTCCAGCAGAGCAGGGCTCCACTGGAGGTGACTGAACGATGATATTCCATCACACCATCCACCACCAAACTGCAAACTGAACCCACTCCCACCCCAAAAAATTTGGTTTTTGAACCTCAACATCTGAAAACACTTCGTTTAGGTTCCCAGACAGTCACGACCTTCCTCTCCCCCCTTCCTGATTCCCAAAGTTGATCCATTGCACTTAAAAGTAGATTTAAGCTTGTCCACAGAAGATGCAGCTGGTGCCTCCGATGCTCTGCCACCCTCTGACACAAGACATGGCAAATCTCTTTTTTCCAGGGACCCAGAAAGGCAGTGATCCAGAAAGAAGGATTATTGAACCAAATCCACCAGATTTGCTCCAGTCAGATGATTCATACACAGTGTAACACGCTGTTTAATAGGATTAAAGGAAACGTAAAATGCACATTTCTGGGCAGGGATATTTGAAGGAATAATTCAAGGAGCTTAAAAAGCTCCAAAAGAAGAGACAAGAAATAGCATCTGGATCAATCACGTTTCTGTTTAGTTTTAATACCTCCAAAGCTTTCAGAAACAAGCCAGCTTTCCCTGCCCTTCTTTCCCCACAAAATATTTCAGCTCTCTTCAGAAAAGTTTGAAAATTTTTTAATATAATGAGCAATGCAAAAACCAGATGAAGCCTAGACATAACTGGAGAACTAGAATAAATTCAGGCTGAAGATACTTCAAGTTTTAGACTCAAGAGATTTTGATCAGTGGCTAGAACAAATAAAGTAGCTTCATCTGACAAAGAAAACTGTAACAGAATCACGGAATCATTCAGGTTGGAAAAGACCTCTAAGACCATCGAGTCCAACCATTGCCCCAGCACTGCCATGCCCACCACTAACCCCTGTCCCCAGGGGCCACATCCACACACAGTTTGAACGCTCCAGGAATGGCGATTCCACCACTTCCCTGGGCAAGTCTTAGTTTGTTAAGTCACTAAAATCCTTCCATGGAGCTGCTTCATCCATGGCACCTCCCAAATCCCTCCAGGGCAGGAGTCCCTCTTCCCCAGGCTCCCTCTGCCCAAATGAGGACCTGACTCAGATCAACCACACAGAGGGACCTTGCACAAATCCCATGGCATTTTCACATGGACACAAGCTCCAAAACAAAGCACAGCTGATGGACATCCTCTACACCCACAGATATTTCATTCTGGAAAGACCTTGTAATAAAAAGGCATCTGAGCATTTTTAAGTCTTGGTTTAGACCAGACACCTCTGTAGTTCATCCAGCCCCGTCAGAAAATTGAAAACACCAAAATGACTAAGGCATTTCTGTTCTCCAAAGGGGTGCAACACAAGCAACAGCATTAAAGATGAAAAACAAAGTGCTTTAAAAGTGGTTCCTTCCATTTAAATAGACTGACACAGTAATAAATCAAATGAACAAACCTCCATATGTACACAGAATCAAATAATTTTAATTGCGGACCCTAGGCAAAATCCTGCAGCTTTTTTAAATACAAAAGGAAATTAAAAATGCTCAGCATTGCTCACACTAGATCATTACTTAAAACCTGCTTCAGGTCCAGCTGACTCACAGTGGTGTGGTGGCATGTGAGCTGCTTTAACAACCATTCTCCACCACCCATCTCTGCAGCTCCAGACAGATGATGACCAAAAATCACCTTCTGTGGGACAACTCCCACATCTGAGTATCAAATAGATCTTGCAAGTGGCAAAAACAAGGTATGGAAGCACAGATGGAAAGCAAGTTGTGAAGGATTACTGCTGAGGTAAATGAACCATTAAAAAGCAAACAACATCCACTGGCTACAACCAAAGCCTGATTTCTATAAAGGCTCATAAAAGAAAATAAATCCTTAGGAGGTGGCAATGCCTACACTTTCTTTTGTATCACAGCCATGAAGGAATCTGTGTGTTTAACACAAAAGTTCATGGGTTTAGCTGCAGTTCAGCACTTATTCCCCTTGGATTGGGCAGTAGGTGCTCTGCTCCTCCCATAGCTCAAAATAACACACACACCTCAGGCTAGAACAGAATGCATCCTTATAACTATAAAAAATAATTTTAAAAAAAAAACCAACCCCAAGAAAAGCACTTCACTCATGCACAGCAGGTGAAGATGTTCATTTTCTGGGGAACTGGGCCTGGTTACTAAATAAGGCAGCTGTGTTTGCCAGATCCTGACTCCCTGGGGATGTCTCAAGGGCTGCCCAGGTTCTCACATCCAAAAGCAAGCCTATGAACTTGCAACAACAATATCAACATCAGCTCCTCTAATTCTTTTAAACTCGATGAGCCAAAGAGCCTGAATTCACACAGCAGCAGGAGAAAGGTGGTGGGGGAAAAAAAAAAAAACATAGAAAAGCAACATTTTATTGAAGTCCTTTAAAGCCCAGATGCCCATAACTCAGCTCCACCAGCAGTGGCATAAAGCCTGCATTGTGCACGTCGGCTGCCGACTCTCCTGGGAGCGCCTTTGATGGATTTTGACAGTATCCTGACCTGGAGTAACCTGAGGCAGCCCTCTCCCTCCAACGCCCAGAGCCTCCAAAGGCCTCTCTATTTACCTCCCCGCAGAGGGAGATGTAATTACATCATTCCTCACAAGCCAGCAGTCATGTCCCAGCTGCTTTGAGCGATTTGCCCTCTGAACCTGGTGTTAGTGAGGAGGACGAGGAGATGCTAACAATAGACCGCACTTGTTGGCCAACAGTTTTGTCAAACACGTTGCTGGTCCTCTCCTGGACCTCTCCAGGGGGAGGCAGAATCACTTGGTGGAGAGGGATGTGCCCTGAGGAGATGCCACGAGCCTCAGGTGTGTGGGAATCCAGAGCTTCCCTCTGGCTGCCCTGGGACCCTGGCAGGGGTCAGGAACCCCCCTGGACAGAGCCCCCAGAGACACTGGCTGTGATCTCTGTCCATGGAAAAGAGTTTTCAATCTTACAGGATGAATTACAAGTTCTGAGTGTTTGATATGAGTAATAATTAAGTGTGGCACAGGTGCAAAAGTAAAATTTTAGGATTCTAGATGAGGGGCCGAAAGGGGACAAGATGGAGGAAATTGGGTGTGTCTTGTCCTTTTTCTCCTTCTTCATGCCCTCCATGTTTCACTGTGGTGTTGGCATTTTTCTGTTGGTTTAGGCTGGGGACACACTGTCCAACGTAGGTGACAGATATTGGCACGTTATTGTAAATCCAGCACAGGTAGTTTGTGGTATTTAATGTTTGTACCATCCCACTGAGGGCAGAGCCCCACACGCTGCCCTGCAGGACAGAGCTGCGACAGGGCAGCAGAACATGTTAGAGATAAACAGAATAAACAACCTTGAAACCAGCACAGACCAATTATGGCTTCTGCTTTGGCAGCGGGGCTGACAGACAGAGACTTTCTACAATCTCGGAATCATCAATACCTCAGATTCCGACACAGGTGGTTCCCAGCTCTGCCAGCACCAGGGAGTTGGGGTGTCTAGGAAGGATTTTCCCCAATATTGGGGATGGTTTGAGCACCCCTTTAGAGCTGCAGTTCAGCACTCTGCCTGAAGAGTGGTGGGAGGTGTTGCTGGCCTGTCTCAGCTCACACGCACAGCTCCAGTCCTTCCTCCTTTGGTTTGTGTGCACAGAACCCTGCTTTCCTCGGAAAAGAGGAGGTGGGGTGATGGAGGGGCCGTGGTGGAGGATGGCAGCTCCCTGCAGGACACATGGAACCGAGACGTGCTGGCTCTGGCTGCAGGCGTCACAGAAACCACATCAAGGGGCCCGGTCTTATTTTGAAACATTTGTGTTTCAACAGCCACCCATGGGTCTCACTGACCCGACCTTACCCCAAAACCAGCTTCCAACCCACAAGAAAGAAGTTTCTTCTGCCTGTCCACATTTTTCCAACACACTCCACAACGTCACAGCTGTCAGAGCCCTGCTGCAGGTCCCACCACCCCAACACTCCGCTCAGTGAGACCTTCTCCATCCTGTGTCCCCAGAGAGGCTGTGCTGAACACACACCCCTGTGCCGGCAGCACGCACAGGAAGAGACCCATTTTAAGCAGAAGTGAAAATGTTGAACACAA